TTCCGTCGTAGAGTTCCCATTTTACAATTACGTGACTCAGCCTGGTGATAACGGAGAAAAGAGACAGATAGGACGTCGATATAAGTCACAGTTATGATTTCACAGATTCGAGACAGCTTGATAGCCCGAACGGCCCCAGGCTTTCGCCCGTGCACGCTAAGTGACTTTCATTACAAGCATTTAGCTTTCCGAAGTCTATGACAACAATTGTTTGGCATTGACGGCCGCGAATTTCGTGCCAATAAGCTGCCTCGACTTGTTCGATTATGTTATCAACTCAATTTCATATTTATTTTCACATTTTCACTTCGCGGTCCTTCTCTGTTCTTTTTCCGTTATTTACACGTGTAGGTCATTTCATTGTTATCCACATTTGATATCATCATTTATCACATACTTCCATGACACTCTTGTCTGTCCGCTACAACTGCCAAGAATTAACGCGATTGGCGAAGCGTAGTGACAGCGGGCCAATAGAGAGCAGGATCCTTGCCATAATGCGGTTTGCGCGCCAATTTTCGTACGTGCGTTAATCAAGCCGAATAGTTTGGCCGAATATTCGGCTATTCGGCCACGCTCCTGGCCGAATATTCGGTATTCGGCCTGAGGCCGAATATACTATTCGTTACAACACTAGTAAAAATAAATCAAAGTTACATACAGTAATAAGAATATAAAATCGTAAACTATAAAATAATAAATTATTCGAGTTTTGAATTATTGAGTTTTAAACTTATTTTACTGTTTTAAACTTATTTTTAAACTTATTTTACTCAATAAATTATTGAGTTTTAAACTTATTTTACTGTAAACAATTCCAAAAACAAATTTTCAAGGAATAGAAACTGCAAATTTTTAATAGAAAATAAAAAGGAAACCTCATTAACGTACTTAATTTATAGCCTTTCCTTTAGCGAGTTTCTTTAGCCTTTTCTTGTTTGAAATGAAAACGTAGAATGTTTCTTTATTAATAAAATAAACTTTAAAAATTTCAGTTTCTACAATAGACTAATTAACCATTGTTAAGAACCACCAAGAACCAATTAAGAACCATCGTTATTGTAAAGCTCATTACTAAGGTGTTAATTATTATTAAAGAATTTGTGAATTAATCTCATTCACTGTTGTGATAAGCCCATCTGTATATGTGTCTATTTATTATATATTTAGACTAACTTGTAAGTGTTAAATTTTATTTTCTCTTAGTAAAACTACCATTAATTTTTAATAGGAGTAGAAAACACTATGGGTTTCTAAGGCTTCTCCGGGCCTGGGGAAAATATCCAGCTTTATCCTCTCGACGGCCCTGCAAACACCACGGTGGTTTCCTCTGTACATCTCGTGCTACGGAATCCAATGTAATAAGGGATAGGAAGAGACTCAATGCTGATGCCTAGTCCGCCCCCATTCTCACTGAGAATCCTTCTGTCTCTCCACTCGATATTAAAATCTTGGTTTGATGCTTATCAAGCACACCTATCATCAGCTTTGTATATTCTGAGATCATCCTTCTTAGATGAGATCATCTAAGATACATTCATATTAATTCCCTCGAAATCCTGTCGTAAGCCTTTTCAAGGTCTATGAACATCCTATGTAATTTCTTTTGCTTTTTTCTGAATCTCTTTATTCCCTCAACCCATGAATGGCATCCATTGTAAATTTCCTTTATTAATCCACATTCTCACTTATATCTATCTTGTATCTCAATCTTTTATCTATTATTCTCCTCTATAGTTTCATCTCACGGCTCATCAGTTTTACTTCCTCTGTAGTTAGATCATTCTTACACATTGTCCTTACTGAAAATCGGAATTTGTGTACTGGCTCTCCATTTTGCAAGCATTTTCTCTCCTCATATTATCGTATTACATAATATTACATAACCGAAAATAGGGAGTAGAATATTACATATTCTACTCCCTATTTCCCTAGTGCTTTGAAAGCGTCTGCTGAGATTCCATCCGACTCACTTCCTTTCCCTTTTTCATGCTTTCCAGAGGCCTCCTCTCCTGTTCCTCTCTGACCTACTCCGTATTCTCAGCTGTGTGTTCAACTTACGTTAGTTCTCTATCTTTTCTGCATTCATCAAGGTGTCAAAGGACTTCTTTCATCTTTTCCTTATCTCCTTTTATTATACGAAAACTCGTTCTTGTTCATCGTTTATTATGACCATCGCTTTAGTTAAACATCTCTATATTTCCTTTCCTCCTTTGCCAATTAGCTTATCATTTTATCGTCATCTATTCCTCCAGACTCTAGTATTGTATATTTCCTCGTTTGCTTCCTCCTTGGATTTAGCAATTGCTCTTTTTACCTCATTCTTTGCGTTTCATTTACATTGCTTAAAAAATTTAATAACTTAAAACCCGAACATTAAATACTTTGCGCATAATTTATTAATGAATAAGGATTAAAAAGTTTTTCTCTCTATTAAGTTAATGAGGAAACATCTTATTTATTTCTACAATACATTTTCTTTACTCAACTTTTCTTAAAAAAATGAAAATTAGAAACGTTAACCTAATTTTCTGTGATATCCACCCTAAAAATTTACCTCTAGCCAAAACAAAATGAAACAGTACCTAATATTCTACTATCAACTGCTGTTGTGTGAAATATTATATCTCGATGTAAATGAAAAAAATCATTCATCAAATAGGCTTTAATTAAAAAAAGTTCTTTAAAGATTAATATTAATAAGTTTCGGTTAATAATTACGCTTTATTTTCTCAACTATATTCTTGGTGTTTAGAATTAATTATTTGAAAAATTTAAACATTAAGAATAAATAAATAAGTACACAATGCAGAAAATATTTTAAATTATTCTCATATTACAGTCGTTTTATATAAACATTATATCGATATATGTTTTTACGTTTATATACAGTATACATATAAATTTCTTAAAACGCTATAGTCGAATTAAAGCGAAAATAACAGATTTCTTGTTTATAAGTTAAATAGTTCTTCGAGAAATTTTCATTTTAATAAAAACAGAAATTCAATATTGTAAGAAGTAGGACATCGAACTTTGAGAAATATAGAACGATTCTTTCCTTTGGGCGTAATAAAACAACGCCCCGAATATGAACTATGAAGTGGGTGTTCTCATTTTCCGCTAATAATCCCTATTAGTAACTACGGAAAATTTTCAAATTTGGAACGTTAAACTGAAAATTCAATAACGTCATTTAGGAATGAATGCATTTTAATATCAAAATAATTCCACCCACTTCGTTATTTCCCCCTTTCAAGTTTTTTAAAAAGACATTTTTGAAAATATCTTCCTACTAAAAAATACCAGACAGATAGAAATTTACATAATGAATTTTTGATGTATTAAATTAATAATAATATACGGACCGAAAATAGACAATATATTTATTGTAATAATAATAATAATAAATATATGGAACTTGGCTCACAAAATACATGTTTTAAATAGAAAATAAATAGATAAAATGTATAAAATCATATAATTTAAAATTGTTTTATGTAAAAATAATTGCATGAATTTGAAAAAAATTACTCATAGCGACTCGAACTAACAAGCTAACAATAGTCAAATACGATGCTGTCAAGCTATGGAGTCCTCGTAGGAAGGTCCTGCAAAGAGTACTGTATTCCTAAATCGTTCGGGAATTGTTAGTTCGATTTTTTAAAAGATGCTTGAGAAGCGCGCTTTTTCCATTGTTCAATAAAAGTTCATACCAAGGCTTATCCACCCAAACAACCACCCAATCATTGAAAACTGTGATGACCTCCTTGTGGGGCTAGGTTGTCATGTTTCACATAACAAATTCTGAACACAATACCAAAAAACACTAACTTGAAAATAATAATTGGCGATACAAAACCTTTCATCTAACGATGGATGGACGATTCATGTTTCATTCTTCCGATCTGGAGGACCGGAATCGAAGTCCGGTGAGAAACCTCAGGAATTTTTTTATGTACAGTCTGTCCCGTCCCTTACCATTCTACCAACTTTATGTTGGCCTGACGAACTCATCATGGTTAAGATTTTTTTTTTTTTAAATACGTTTTTTAGTACCCACAGGATATAAAGAGAGAAAAATGAAACAAAAAATTTTATCTAGCGGGAATGAAATAAATCGATTACAATCTCACGAGGAAAATTCCAGCAAGTTGCGTAACTTCACCGCAAAATAGTTAAAATTGCGTATGGCGCCATTCGTTATGATGTTTTATTTTTAAAACTTTTTACATTATTAATTATTATAAAATGACAAAATTTTAATTTTGAGGCGAGATGAGTTTTATAAAAAGTTGTAAAAGCTAATAACCACTAAAATCATCAAGTCCGACACCACTCCAGATATGATACATGACATCCTCTATCTCTCCTCTCCTTGACCTTGCAAATTCATACACCCTCCACATATACAAACACTAACATCCACCAACAAAAAAAGACCTTTTTTNAATTTACATAATGAATTTTTGATGTATTAAATTAATAATAATATACGGACCGAAAATAGACAATATATTTATTGTAATAATAATAATAATAAATATATGGAACTTGGCTCACAAAATACATGTTTTAAATAGAAAATAATGCTTTATAAGAGAAAAACACAAGTTAAATTTCTGTAGGAAGATTCACATAGAAAAGGTGGTCAGTCGAAGTTGTATTATTAACAAAAAAGAATTGGCGAAGAAATAAATTTAGTTTAAAAACTTTTACATTAACGTATGGCAGTTAAACCTATACGCATTACTTTTAATAAATTATAGTCGAGATCTAAATTTCAATTTCGGGTGTGGCGGATATAAAAGACAGAAGTATCGATCTTATAAACAAACGACATCCAATTAGAATTCGAGTACAAAAAAGAAAAAATATATATTTCGAAACAAACTAAAATAATTAAATTTAAGCATTTTATAATTTATATTTTATCATTACAAATATTATTATAATAGAAAATAATTTTAATATCTTGATTTTAAATTTTCATACTAAAGAGGGCGTACAGTCGGAGTGTGATAATTTTGACGTGTGGAGTCATCCGGGAAAGCCTGATAGGATTTTGTTTGTATACAGTCTTGCTTGAGTTGTGCACGTCGCCGTTATTATTTTATAGTCCGATGAAGACAAATTAATACGCCAGATTCGCTCGAAGTGCATCTTAATATTAAGTTAAGCGAAGAAGTTTGTGAGATGGCACCTGACATCTTGTTTAAAACTGGTACGATGTTTGATTTGTTCATTTAAGCAAATGTAAACAACATGACATGTCTGTTTCTTCTGTAATTTAATCAGTTATTTGATTTTTCTTCACTGACATTATTTTTCAATATACATAATTCATTTTTGTATTCACAATATATAAGATTTAATGTACTGGTCTCTCTGCTCCTATTATAACTTTTAATATCCTATATAAAAATGAGTCACATTAAGATTTTCGTGTTAAATAAACTATAATATTTATAGTTATTACCAAATATATCAAAGTTTAATTCAAAACTATTTATATTTGAATTATACATTTCTATAACTTTAAACATGCATAATATAAGAAACTTGCAAACTTTCAATGACATTTTGCTGATGAATCTTAAAAGTAATACAGCAAACACTTTGAGTTAAAATTTTGTAAATTCATTTATAACTAGTGATTTCTATAGTACTGTATGAAAAAATGTCCAAGTTATTGTGTAAGTTATATTATTAACAATATAATTGTTAATAAAATATGTCATTTTAATGCTTTTACTCACTAGCTCAAAATTGCTTCGTACGACGCCAAATAGTTTAAGAAAGTATTAACGCTGTCTGTTGGCATTATTGTTTTACTTTAATACTTCAGCTTTAATTTTAGTTTTTAGACAGCGTTAATACTTTTTTTTACTTAATAATGAAATTAGATGTTGTTAGAATTGTTCTTTTAATGTACCAGTATAATTTTCTTTCTGTAAAATTATATTTAGGATTTATTGTAATATAATTATCTGGGATTGAATTTTATTTTTTACGGAAAGTTTATGATGAATAGTTCCTACTGTTTGAAACTCTAACATAAGATTTTGTTTATATCTTCATCAATAATTATTAATTCTGTTAGATTAACTATAATAATGTTACAGATAATGTACAAAAATAAAAAATATTGCAATTTAGAAGCATAAAATAATCAATAATCAGTGCATTCTTAATAATTTATTCATCTCATGAATAAATTTTTATAATCCACTTACTAGATCTTTAAAACATCTACAGAAAGTTACTAAATCTAATTTTTTAAAAGATAATTTTGCATTCAAAAATCGCAAAAATAATCATTTTTCTTCTTTCATTCTAAGCAATCGCTATAGTAATAATTGTTAATTAACTTTATATATTTCATAGAGACTTTGTAATTTAGTCATGTTCTGAATTAAAATAATAAAAGCAAATCTTCATTTTTTATGAGAATTTTATTTTTTAAAATCTGTTTATTGCAGGAATGCACAATATGCAGCCTGCTAATGTTTTAATGTAATCTATAATCTATTTCTAGTAATATGCATGTCTAAATATACATAAATGCAATAGCATTATTTTAATTTAAAATGAAATGATAAATTTGAGTTTAAAGTAATATGTTGTTGGATTTGCACACAAATGTTCGTTTAATGCCCTCATCAGTACATTTTAACTATAATATTGTGCACATTTAAAAATAACTTTATTTAATGTGGTTTGAAGCAACACTTAAAAATTGTACATTCCAGGTTTAAGTTATTACGAATTTAACTAGTCAAATAATTTGATCAAAAGTGAGATCATTTTGAAAATTAAAATTGAAAGATTCTAAGTTAAATAATGATCAGTTTATCAAAAAGTTTGATTTTTAGTCAAAAATAATACTTAAATTAAAAAATAACATTATTAAATTATATGTGTACCTTTGTTTCTAATACTTTAGCCCATCTTTCAGGTAGACCTATGTTCAAAACATTCTGAAGACTTTTCCTCAACAAAATATCTAAGTGGTTTTTCACATTGTAGGAGAAAAAGTTCAATGACTTAACTATTCTGGAGGAGATCAAAATAAATGATAATCTGATGGTTTAAGATTGAAAAACACATGGTGGATGACATAAGATATCTTATCCAAATTCCAATAATTTCTTCTGAGTGATCAAAGATGTGTGAGGTCTAGCATTGCCATGCTAGAAAGCCACAATATTTCTTCTTACTAATGTTGGTCATTTTTTTTATGGTTGTCTTCAGATTATCAAATTGGAAAGAGTACTTTTCTGAATTCGTGGTCTGATTTTGAGGTACAGTTCCTTGTCAACATAATCTTTTTCAGATGTAAACCATCTTTTGATTGTATTGCAGGGGGTTTGGTTTACCTTCTCCACAATTCTTTTTGCTGTACATTATCACAAATAATCCATTCTTTTATCACTAGTAATTGACCACTTCAAAAAGAGATCCATCTATTTCAGCAGCAAATCAATGGTCAATATTCCATTTTTTCAGATTTTTCTTGCTCAATTGATGTGATACCTAAAGAAAATAACACAATTTGTATTTTAAGTGGTGTAAATTGTAAATGGCCAACAACTGATTTTTGAGTAATAGATAACACTTCTGCAATTTCTCTAGTGGTGTAATGTGGATTCTCTTGAATTAATATCAACATATGAATGAACTTTTTGATCAACCCAATATATCTTTAATATAGTATTATGTCTAAACACTCAAGTAGGTTAATGATGTAAAATATCAGTCAGATTTAATGTAATTAGCTTAAAATAACAAAATTTAAAAAATTTAGATTAAAATCACTCAAGTAATTTCGAAAAGTATTGCACAGAAAGAGACTTTATTATTTAGTTAAAACTTTTTGTATATTGAAAACACTTTTATATATGTATCTAATTTAATTTTATTACTACACATAAATATATTACAGTATTACTAAGTTTAATATATAGTTTTTGGCAATTTACATTATTAACTGCTTAATTTTTTAACCTGAAATTGATCTATAAGACAATTAGGACAAGAGAGTGATTTAGTAATTAGTAGTAATAAATGGTGTGCTTTATTAGATTACAGTACAAGTTCCAATGGATTTACTGTAATTTAATAAAGCACACCATTTATTACTACTGATCTATAAAATTTCCTGTAATCAGCTGAATTAATCAATGCACCTTTAACAATGGGTGAGGTTTAAATAATGCTAGCATTTTCAACCTGAATGGCCATTTGACAGTTGAGCTACATTCCACTTTCAACTGTCCAAACCTGAAGATTGCACATTAACTGGGATGGAAATGTTAGCATTACTTAAAATTTACCCATTGTTAAAGGGGAATTGATTAATTCAGCTGAATTCCCACAGTGGTTAGTTCATCCTTAAGTCCAGTAATCTGGCACTGCCTAGAAAGTAACCAATAATCTGGAATTGTTTGATGATAATTTAGTATGCTAGTACAGTATTCTGCAAATCACAATTTGTTTGGACACACTAAAACCACTGGGCAAGAATTGAGGCAAAAGTAGGGATGTGGCCATGCACACTGCTACATGTTGGGGTTCTCATTCTTGGAGCATGAGTAGCTTTTGTGAATTTTGTGTAGAATAAAATAAATATTATGTATATATGAGTTATTGTGAATATTGATTTTATGCCATAATTACAGTGACCATACGTCCTTTATTTAAGAAGACAGTCCTTTATTTCATTGCTCTGTCCTCTAACTTTATTTATTTTATAAAATAGTCATTTTGTCCTTTATTTTGTAAATTCGACGCAAAGTTTAAAAAATTTTTTAATAATATATTGAACAAGTTACCCCCATACAAAGTCAAAGCGCGATTCGAAAAAGCTACTGTTATCATCAACATGCCTCACCAAGAGCATCTCAGGTGGCTAGAGGCCACAGCTATCTACAGTGTCGGCCAGCTAACCACGTGCGTTAACCAGAAGGAAGTGCTGACTCTGTCTCTGGCCTGGCAATCACTGTTGAATGCCAACCCGCCACTTCCTCCCCCACCACAAGACCGTGCATGTCAGAAAGGACCCACTCCGTCAGAATTGACACACGATCCCAACAAATAGAATACACTCTGTCCAGGGAATTCCAGTCGATCTGAAGAAGAGCAAAGAGATTGCTCGAAAACATTTGTCAACAGCGATATACAGTATATATGCATCACACACCAGTGGTTACAGGTTCCGGATAGTGTATAAACTTGTGAATTTTATAAGGTATTTTTTTTTATTTTCTTTCTTCGATATGTCCTTTATTTTCCCCCAAAAAATATGGTCACCGTAGCCATAATATGTTTGTTAATATTTTTACAAGTTTTCCAATTCATCTTAACACAATATAGTAAAGTACTGTGTCATCTTCAGACTGATTAAGGAAAGTGCATAAACAGATCAGAATATGGCAGCATGGATTGGTACAAAATGTACAGTAGTGTCTGTACATTTTGTACCAGTCCAGTACAGTAGTGTCTGTACATTTTGTCAGATTATACATAATTTATCTCTACCCTCAAAATTAAGCTTTTTGCCATTTTGTAATAATAATATAAAAAGTTTTTTAATAGAATCTCATAACATGCCATCACTCACAATTTTAACTCTAGCCAGAAAAGTTATGCAACTTGTTGCTGGAGTTTTTCCTTTGAGAAAATCAGTATTTTTATTTTTGATTGATACTCATATGCTTTCAATTGATATGAATTATGCTATGATTATATGTTTGTTTCTCTATTATTTGCCATGTCAATAGAATAGTATAGCTAGGGGAGGGCAACCTGGCCTGGTTATGCTATTGACTACTACTGATCTAATGCAATAAAAAGGTGAGTTCTGTTTTGTTGGGATAATACAAGACATCAGATACAATTTTAAATTTCCACAAAAGTGTTGCTTATTGTCAGAAATTTCTGACAATGATATCTCTTGAAGATGGTCTTATAGATCATCATATCTACTTAAGCACTTAATTGTGCTTAATAACAATATTGGCAACAGTGTCCTATTTTTTTCACAGGTTTTCCCTGTGTCTATATATATATTTTCACTTTTTATGTATGTTTGATAGACAAAAGGTCCTAAAAGGTCCTAGCTATGCCACTATTTCTACCATAATTCTGGAAATGATATTGGTGTGCATATTCTTGATTTTAGAAATTTTCTATTATATTTGTTTGGTTTATTCATTGCAATGGAAAAAATGATTGAAATGAGCAATTATTTATTATGACATCACAATGCCAGGTTTCAATTTTTAATCATATTTTTTAAATTTATTTAATTTAAAATATATGTCTCTTCACCTCAAATTAGTAGTGGCTTGCCTCTGTACATCATACTTTTCCTGTTTGCAATAGTATCATGCTGATCATTTATCTAACCCCTTTCAGGGAAAAATTTTTGAATTGAAATAACATTTCTTCCAGTTTGCATCAGAAATTCATATATAGTTAATAGAAATCTCCTGTCCCTAATCTTTTCATATCTGGTTTCGGCTTTCATCTGTTTAACTCTGTTCTCAAGATTAAGGAAGGACAGAAGACAGTAGGCTTTTATATATGTACAATTTTTTCAAATTGCAGCCCAATGATGTTTTTTCAATAATTTAATTTTCAAAAGTTTTTAAAACTTTTGAAAATTAAATTATTTAACAAATTCTTTTTTAGTGTTTTGGTTGTAAGCGTTTTAAAGGCTTACAACCAAAACACTTAAAAAGAATTTGTTAAGATATAAACTCATTACCAAGATTTTAACATTTGGTAGTGACGATAGACTATAGTTAGACTTTATTAATCAAATGTTACAGATTCTCTTGAAAATATTTTGTGATTTAAATTTTGTTATAAATATGAGGATCATTTGATAAATCATGGAAACTATTTTTTATTTTAAAAACTGCAAGAGATTTTTAAGAGAAGAAAATGCATGTGTAAACTAAGTTTTCTCAAAAATTTTGTAATATGAGTTTGAAAATGATACATACAATAGTAATGTTTTAATAATATAATCAAGTGAAACATCTCGTAAGAATCTCCTAGATTTTTGACTCTGAGAATATCATCTAGTTTGTAAAAATTACTGTTAAATATGGATTAATTGCAAAACAGTATCATGAATAACTAGTAGAAGCTAAAGACAATAATACTCTTTCATATCAAACAGTTACACAGTGGTGTAAGTACTTTAGAAGTGGAAAATATCAAATAGTATTACTAATGACCCCTGAATATTATATAAAATATAAAAGTATCTTGATAATTGATACATTAGATATTTTTTAAGCTTAAACAGTTTTAGGATATTTTCTCTTTAGAAGATTGACAAATATAGTTTAACTCCATAATAGGCATATGTTTTGTCATACAAATGGGTACATGGATTGCAATTATAAATTTTTACATTACAGATAAAATATTTTAAAAATATTTGTGGCTAAATTTATAAATGATTATTTCAAATCCTATTTCTCATTTATACTACATCATTACAAAAATTTCTCCAAAAATGGACAAGTGGATTATATCTTTAATCCACTAATTTTAGTTTTGATTGCTTTGTATCAAAACAAGTTTAAAACTGTATAAGTAGCAAAAACATTGTAATACGAATTGAATTAATAACATTCAAGCAAAATATAAATAAATTATGCTAAATCAGATATGTAATCCTTTGAAATGTAGATACAGAAAATTAGGAAAAAGGAGTTATCAAATTATTGAATATATAAAATAAATTCAAATTTCTTGAGTATTTTTTCTAACTTTACAATAACAATAGTGTATAATAATTATACAAGTACTTAAAATTTTACATTATTAAAATTTATAGTAACATTGAATTTCAAATTAATTTTTTTTTAACATTAACATCTAACATATTTACTCACAATGATGAATACACATAGACAATTTATTCAATTTTGTTATACACAAAAAAAATTACATTTATATGACATATTTATTACTAATTACTTATTACTGTTTGGGTTTGAAAATAGATGATATAGATTAATTTTTTTGTGATTATGATTTTAATATATATTCAGTATTATGAATATTATCAATAAATGATTGAATTAAATTAATTACAATAAAGTGTTAAAATATTTATGTATATGTACAGGGTGTATCAGAATGACATTTTAAAAATTTGGGGGACTGTAGAGGATTAAATTTTGAACGTTTTGATATAAGGAACCCATAGCTGGAAATGTGATATAAATTGTCTACAGCGGTAGGAAGTGCTTCACCGCCCTTCACTTTGGTAGCTACTCTTCTGTCCATTGACATCATGCTATTGTTCTTGACTTCTTCCTCTGAGGTTATGTAAATTCCTTTGTGTATGCAACACCAGTAGGAACAGTTCACGAGCTTACAGAGCACATCATTACAGCATTTAATACCATCAGAGGGGAGCATGGCATCTTACAGAGAGTTGGACAAAACAAGGTTCATTGTTGCACATTATGTAATGAAGTTGGTGGTTGTCACATTGAACATTTACTCTAAAGTAGTGCAGCCACTGATTCGATGTACAGTTTGACTGTACTGTACTATTTTGTCAATAAAACTTGTCATAAATACTGTATTTTGCTGTTTCATTCAGCATATCGACTGCAAAGTGCAAAGCGCTGTAGAAACTTTATATCACATTTCCGGCTATGGGTTCCTTATATCAAAACATTCAAAATTTCATCCTCTACAATCCCCCAAATTTTTAAAACGTCATTCTGATACACCCTGTATATATTTAGAGTTACTGTATTTTTATATGTTTATTTAATATAACTTTCTTTGTTGATATGGATTAATTACTGTATCGTAATAATAATGCAATTGTTTTTTAGGTTACTAATGCCTGAACAGAAAATATTAACTGAATATTTGATATCTGAAGCAAATTTCATCAAGTACAGTGTGCAATTTATTCACATAAATGTTTGTTGTTTATAATTTTTATTTTATTTTTAAGTGAATGCTTTTAATGATTCAACTTTTTAAAATATTTATAGAAATTCAGCATGAAAAAAGAAAATAAAGATTTCCTGTAAATTTAAGAAAAATGAAAGATAAACATGAAGAAAGAGGAATATTTCTGAATTTTAGTTAAATATTAAATCAAAAGTGTTATTTATTCAAAGTTATTTCATCATAAATATGTATTTATTGTAAAAAAGGAACTAATGGTCTAAATGTAAAGTGAACTGAATATTTGAAGCAAACTTTATTATGGTTTTATAGTATTAAAATTTATTATAAAATGAATATAGTTTTAAGTAGATGTACTCTATTATTGACAAGAATAAATATCTAATTTTATGCTGGTTTTTTTCCCTCCAGAAGAAGAAGAAAGTGAAGGTTCGGGTAAGAAACATTTTGTCTGTGATGTCTGTAAAACAAGATTCAGATGGAAGAAAAATCTGAAAAGGCATTTAAGGGTTCACACTGGAGTGAAGCCATTTTCTTGTGATATATGTAAAAAAAGATTTGCCAGGAGAGGGACTTTACATAATCATTTATGGAGCCATACAGGAGAAAAACCATTTCTGTGTGACGTGTGCACAAAAGGATTTGCTCGAAGAGGACATCTAATCAGGCATCTTCGGATTCACACAGGAGAAAAACCTTTTGTATGTGAGATATGCAATGAAAGGTTTAGATTTAGTAATCAGCTTAAAATCCATTTTACTAAGCAACACTCAGATAAATAAATTATTTTTTAAAGTAATTTTTAAAGTTGGTTCTGAAAAAATTATAAAAAATTTTTTCAGAACAAACATAAAAGTTTACAACAGAATGTATTTTTAATTTATTTAACTTTTAATCTAAATTAACATCCAATTTAAAATCATATCATTGTAGAATGCTTTTAAACAATTCAGATATTATTTATCATATTCAACCACCTGATTTTGCGCCAACATATTTATCAAGCCACAGATTATGCAATTGCACAATTTCCTGGTGAAATTTTGCTTAATTGCTGTAAAAAATTCTTGACTGCACAAATTTCTGCTGTACATATAAAAAATAAATGCTTATGTGCAGATACTAAAATAATTGCATGACAGCAGAAAATTCTGTCTTCTCAAATTAACAAATACTTTAATAGACTCAAATATTTGAATATATTTGCATGTAATGCATAAAAGTAGATAGATTTCATTCGTATATTAATATTCTACATTATTTCTTATCAGTAACAAGCATACCTGGATATAATATGCACAGCGAAAATGTCAAAATATATGAAAAGTTAATCAGTTGATAGGAAACCAAAAAATTATTTCTTGTCAACCAATTAACTTTTTTGAGCTTCATTTATCAAGAAAAAAAATTTGTGTTTTCTATAATAATAGATTTACAATAATAAATGTTTTTATAGATTTCATCATTTACTTTAAAAGTAAGATAAATTATGTAACACAAAAATTTCTTGATATAGAAAAATTTATTTAAATGTCATGGAGTTAAATTTAAGAAGTTTGAATAATTAAAGTGACATTTTTAAATTAAAAGATAATTTTAAAAATACAGAAAATTTAAAATAAACCAACAGAACACAACATAGTTGTTTTTAACTTTTTGATCAACCAATACATAGTATCAGTTTGGCATGAAAGTTAATATAGTCTAGTTTATGGCAGTCTGCTAACATAGTACAAGATCTTGCCTTGAATATATATTTAGAATAAAAATTGAATATTTGTATTTCAGTATTTTTGAAATGTTAAAATATTAGTTCATTTTCTGATTAAAATATTNTTCGAAAAGTCATTGATTCGAACGTCTTTAACCTGATGATGGCCCATGAAATGGGTTGAAAATGTTTGTTTAGCTGAATAAATGTGCTTTCTCAGTAGTAAGGTGTGTTGACTTTATAATGTTAAAGAATCTAAGTGTGAATAGGAGAGTATTAAATAATAAATTCATTTTGTTAACTTTGTTTTATTACTAAATGATCTTTGAAATTCATGTTATCAAATCATAACTATAAATAGAATTTTATATTACATATTGTATATTCATAGTAGTAATCCTATTCTGTAATCCTAAAATTCAAAATCTAAATACATGTTGAAAATACAATGAATTCTTAACATGGATTTTAAATGACACTAATAATGCAATATTTTGTACATTAATTGATATTAGTCTTTAAAGATTTGTTTAATTAAAATATGAGATTATAGCTAAGGTAGATTTGATTAGTTTGTTATAAACAAATTGACTAAATTTATTTTGCTATATTCTCCTACTTTATAACATGACTTGAAATCAATGCCTATGTCATAATTTTATAAATTGAATTTGTACTTATATTAAAAATTCAAGATATAATTTTACTTTTTACAGATGACAGTTTTTAGCTGTACAGAGATATATTTTTTTTTCTATTTTTTCTTAATCAAAAAAATAATAAACATAATTTCTATTACAGCACTTTTTGAAGTTTGTCATATAATAATTTTAATATATCTTATCCAAAACATCATTGCTTATATATAGTTGCCAATCTTTAGAACAGAGTAGCTGGGAGGTTGGTAGAAAAACGCTGATATTTGAATAAAAATGTCCAAAGCATAAAAAGGGAGAAAATTCTTCATTAACATTGATATTGCACAATGCCTACATTAAATACTTTAATAAACAAAATTTAATATTATCTCTTTGTATAAACACTTTTGACAGCTATTTTTGGCAATATCTTTATGAGTGTGGTAATAATAGCTTTATACTCTTTAAAATCACAATTTAAAAAATCCAACGAGTTGTTTAACTTTTCCGGCAACATTTGGGTTTTTTTTAACTCTCTCCACCCTGTGGGCACTAAGAGGGCCTCTTTTTGCAAGCCCATTATGGGTTCGGCCAGGCCCACAATGGGGCTGCAGGGTGATGAGGGACAGGCCAGACATATGTGAATGGACCACCCCCGAAAAACCCCTGGGGTTTTTTCGACCCGTTCAGATTCGAGCCCGGGTCCCTCAGAGCGGCGGGCTGCCACATTGGCCGCTCGGTCATCCGGCCTCCCAACATTTGGTGGTGCCATCTGTTACGATATTTTAATAAAAAGAACTTATATTTTTAATTATTATAAAATTCCGAAAAACTTAATTTTGAGGATAGGGATGAGTTTTATATATATATATATATAAAGTATTTTACGCGTTATGCTAATTACGCGTAAAATCGTCATTAAGTCAGATCCTATTCGAGATATGACACGACCCCCTTTATCGCCCCACCCCGACGTTTAACCACCAAAATTTATTAGCATCAGTCTCCCTAATAAACAAATCTTCCTGCAAAATTTCAGAAAATTTCAACGAAAAGCACGAGTTATTAAGCATCAAATAGGATGAACAAAATCGTACTCCCCCACACATTAACATCCATACATACAGAAATTACCCCCGAATTTTTTTTGAATTTCTCGACATTTCAAGGTGTCCTGAGCCCATGCTCATGCTCAGGACAAAAATATGGGGAAAGTCATTTTTTGCATGATCGCCACACTTTTTCCCTTATTATATATAACAGCCGGGAAAATTAAAAGGTCAAATAGTTTACGGGCTATGTCATAAATTACACCTAGATTTATGATGTATCACGAATCTTGATATTGTCCTATTATATGCATTTATGCAATGTTTTGCTTTGTTAATAATTTCAATGTACAGTACTTATACAGTTCCTGTCAATCAGTTTATTGACTTTCACTGCAATTAAATTAATTAATTAATAACTAGAAAAATGTTTGTCCTTAATTAAGGACAAACATTTTTCTAGTTATTTATTTCCTATTTCTGTCTTTTTCTTACCATACTGAAAATCTTTTCCTTTTGCCACACAGCAATGCAAGGGAGGCCCTGTAATGCTGTGGTAAAACCATCATCAGACTTACTATTTTACAAAGATTTGTAATCTTTCTAAAATAGAAAGACTGATGATGGTTCTTTTCTTGAGAAAGTTCATACCATGCGCCCCGTATATTCTTAATGAATCAGATGTTTCTTCTTTTGGGCGGAGAAACTGTAGCGCTGCTCAATAATTTGGTATAACTGTAAAAGTAACTCGTTTCCTTGATGAGTCGACCATAATTGATATAACCATCAACATGATGGTACTAACATTGTCAGACTTTAAGATGCAATTTATCTCGTTTGTCATTTAAAATGATCACATTTGAGCTAAAATTATCATACATTACCGACATACATATATAAAAATACTGTATTAATCTTGGTTCTTTCCCAATTGAAAGAATCTGAGAACGTCGTCCTGGTTCGCTTCAGTCGTTCGTAATAAAATACAATGTCTTAGGCATATATATTGATGTTAGATTCGTTAAATGAAGTGTTTGTGATAATATCGAATTTTTTAAAAACTGACAAAAAAGGAAAAGCGGCCGGTCCACTGACGGAGTACACAAAACGCTGATGGTTGGCGACTATGCTTTTCTGTTCGAACTGCGAACGGTCATCAGGCTAACCTGATGACCGTTCGCACGTGTGAAAAAGTTTGTTTTTATGTAGTTTGTAGTTTCTTGCTGGAAATTGGTTCTTTGGGTCGTGCTTATTTACGTAAGCCCAGTTTGAATCGTTGAACTAAAACATAGCTATATATTATACAGTATATAAATTTATGTCTAGAGAGGATAAGGATTCTCAAATAGTAGTAATTATTTAGTATTCGTAATAATTTTACGTATAGTCGTAACGACCCACATTTCACCTGAACATGCGAATTCTAAGTGAATGTGATATACAGTATTTTAATTTCCTGTCCTATGAACACTAAAAGTGCCCTTTTTGCACTCCCATTATTCAGCCAGGTCTACAATGGGCCCGCCGGCTGATGAGGGATGCGGCCGGACATATCTAAAACGACTATCCTTTGAAAATTCCTGGGATTTTTTGACCGTCCTGATTTAATCCTTGGTGCCTCAGAGCGATAGGCTGTCATTTTAATCACTCGGCCTATTAATGCACGTTATAGTGTTGGATGCTTTTAGTGTTATCAATTATTCGCAAGTGTTACAGGTTATAAGTAGATAGCATATTTCAGTAAA